ATTTGGTGGTATTTGATAAGTGTATTTTATACACTTATTTGGGTCTAAAATAGCGTTATTTGATAGTTCTTCTGACAAAATATATCCTAAATTGTTGTATTTTATGTTATATAGGTAAAACTCAATGGTTGAACAAGGAATTGAAAGAAAGAAGTGAAAAATTGTGAAAATGGCAAAATCCAAAGTTTGAGGATCAAATTGCAAATTCAATAGTTGATTTGGACTACAAGATGATACTTTGAAGATTGGTAGGAGACAATTGGATTGAATTAGAACTCAAAAAGTAATGGAATATGATTTAAATCAATTTTCAATCGCATAAGTTATATTCCAGATTTTTAGTCGATGATTGGGACCCATTTTTGGCATAGTAAACGTCCAAATTGGGAAAACTCTATCGAGAAACGTTGTATCCCTTTGAATTATCCTTCCAATGCACTTTGAATTGCATCAATGGGATATCGGAATAGAAAGTTATAGTCAAAATACTGAATACTCTGCAGAGATAAAAAAATCCGCGTACGAAGATAACTTTCCTTATTCGATTGGAACTCTTTTAGGAGTCAATTTGGATGTGATTTTCAACCAATTTTAGACTCCTACAAATACTTAACAGCAGAACACATATTGAGACTTTTCATGTACATATTATACTCCATTATTCATTAATTATTATCATTAAATGAGGAGAATTCATAGTTTTTGTGAGATGATTGAAGAGGATTTGCAAGAATTCAATCAAGTGAAGATTCAAACCTAATTTTTGGGAAAAGAAGAGAAGGCGTAAGTGGAGATTCATCAAGAAACCATTGAAGAGATTCAAAATTTCAAGATTCATCTTCATCTTTTCAATTTATCAAAAATTCGGGTGATGTCTTTTCACTTAAATATGATTTCTTGTAATTTCGATATGTTAGGCTAATTTTATACATTTTTAGGATGAGATGAACCTTGTTATGGTATTTTTAGTTTTTAATTAATTATTTTGACTTTAATTTGATTTGATTTGATTTGTGGATGCTTATTATTATTTTATCGTTTTTTTCAATTGTTTGATCACCAGTTAGTGGATTTTATTGTTATCGAGTCGAGAGACAATAGGATTTAAGCACATTATAATAAACATTATAAGGTTCGATAGAGGATAGAGATATACCTCTATACTTTATATGGTTTCAATAGATGTTCTAGTACTCGTTAATGCATTTATCATGTTTGAATCTTTCATCGAGAGATAGAAATGTCACATAAGGGGAATATATTTGATCGCTATCTAGATAGGCTTTCAATTAAATTAGGAACATTGACCAACATAAATGATTTCAAATTGTCAATTTAATTGTTACACTGAAAATGGAATAACAAGGGGGATTCGACATCTTAGCAATGCATCTCACATATTTGTAAAACACATTTACTTATTTTCATTAGTTTAATTGATAATTTAGGGATTAGTATAGAAACCTCAAAACTTATTTGCTATTCAATTAACGTTACTATTAATTTGAACTTGATTGAA